TTTTTTTTTTTTTTTTTTTGTCGGGGTCAAGTCCTTGCACGAATGTTTTTTTTTTTTGGGAGTGGGGTGGGTGGATATTCTACTGTCGCAATCTTAATCTTCACTCGTCACAATCTGATTGCCTGGTACAGGCTTCAAACAATTATTGTTTTATCTCTCACACAGTCGTTTTGCTTTACTGTCAAAGTTATACTCAGGAGGAAACATAACCAAGTATTAGACACAGTTATGAGTGGCTACAGTGCCCAACTGATGGGGTTACGTTGCATGTTTTGTTTGATGTCTAGGGAGATAATAATTTTATTTATTCCTTTCCCTTTTAATAAAATTCATTCTTGGCATACCGTGAATCAAGGTTTTAGCTAGGATTCTGTGAGTGGCCGTCCAGTAACCATGATATGGGGTCAAAGGGCCTACTCTGCTAGGGGGTCTGGGGTTATGCCCTTCAGAAAATTTTGCAAAACTGAAGCGTTTTTGGTGCGTTTTCCACCATTTTCAGCCGATAAATTTTATGTATCGATTAGACTTGAATGATGCGTCGTTTACTTTGTCAAAAACGTAAAATAGATTGAAATAGCCCATACTAAACGCATCAGTTGTGTTAACACCTCCATGATTGTCTTTTACGACGTTTGTGCAACGTTGATCTTAGCGGCCATCTTAGGGGAAGTGTTACGGTTCGCGATGGGTGTACATATCTGCGTCCACAATCGTCATTTATACATGTCAGTTGAGAAATCACTCCTATATACATGTCGAGGCTTTTAAAACACGGTATGTGCTTCCTTAATTGTAAACGAATCAAGTAGGATAGCTGTTTATGGCCCTTTTTTCATCACTTTTAAGCCATGGGTATCCATAAGGCTTTTTCTGCAAGGATGTTTGACTAGCAGTGTCCATGATGAGGTTGCTCCGCACAATATCTATTATCAACCTTGAACGGGAAAAATGTTCGTTTTCCTAATTGTGGAGAAAACTAGGTGAATGGGGATGACACAAATACCAAACTGCAGTATAAAGTGGCTGCCAAGGTGCCAAGGTGCCCTTTAGGCGAGTACAATTTGTAAGCCCGAGAGTGCAATTCACTCTGCAGGAATTTCTTTTTTCTTCACTTTTCCTTTGCACGATTTCTTTTTCAGTCACCCTCCCTTGCATGAAGTTTTTGCTTCCCCTCCCCCCCATCACTTTTCTAATGGTCCGTCCCTAACTGTGACATCTGTTTCCACTGTCAAATGTCATTCAGCATTTAGTCCGCTAACTAACATGATTCAAATTACAAACGCACGCAACTAACGAAGATGGTCAACGAAAATGGCCAGGAGAGGAATGTACGTACGTATGTACTTTTAGTGAGTCATCTTGTATTGATTCTCGCTGTATTCATGCCAAGGAAAAGGTGTTCTTTCCAGAGGAAGTGGTTAATGTTCCTAAAGGTGAGGAGGATCTGACGAAATGTTGTAATACAGAATCTTGTCCTGCACGGCGACGCAATGAAATAAATAGGGTCCTGGAAGAGGAACTGGAGAATCTAATGCACCAGTCCCGCACCGCCGCACCCGCACCCGCATCCCCCCGCCCCTTCTATTCGTCCTTGAGCAGAGCATTTACTTTTTATGCAAATGGTGAGTGAAGTCCTCGTTCCCCGGGGGCAAAAGTGAGTGGTTCATTCCCC